CCACCCCCCAGCCGCACCAAGGCCCCAGGCTGTGCCCGTCTCAGGGCCAGGAGCTGGCTGGCTGCCCAGGTGAGCGGCCGGGCGGCCAACTGGTTCCCCCTCCCCTTCCCCCCTCAGTGATGTCAGGCCAAGGGCGGGGGCAAGAGGGGGACAGGTAGTTAAGGGCCTGGCGTCTCCCTCCGTAAACCGGAGGCCCCAGCCAGGTGTTAGCAACTCCCCGGGTCCAGGTAAGGACCAAAGCGGGCATTTCATCTTGGGGGTGGGGAGTACCGTCAGGTCCGGGGTCAATATGGAAAGATTCGGCCTCCTGCTGTGTTCCTCCTGCGGCCTCACTTTCTCTTCTCCCCTAGCCTCCCATCCCTCCCCTTCCTCACCATCTGCCCACGGTCTTTCCCTATTCTCATTTCCTGTCCTCTCTAATCCTTCCTTCCCTCTCTGTACCACCCCACCCCCCCCGCCCCCCGGACAAACTATAATAGCACATGGGGACCGGGAAGTTAGATCTCAGATTTTCTACTCCCGGAGACGCAGCTTTCCCGCTGAAACTAGCCCCTCCCCATTCTCAGAAGGCGAGCTGGGAGTGGGGGTCCGAATACCGAGGAAGCTGCCCCCGAGTCATTCCCTTGCTCAACCTGATTTTACCCCGGTTTGAGTTTCCTCCAGTCTTTACTAAAGACGGACATCTCCGCGGCGGGAGGGAGGGGCTTCAGACTGGAGCGCAGTTCAAGAGGGATTCTGTAAATTGCTCGAGCTCCGTCTCTCCGGATGGTATCTGTGTTCAGGAACACAGGGTCCTGCCCTCGAATGGGAGAATGGGGACGGGGAAGGCTCGGGATCCCTCCTGGCTTCAGAACTAAGTGGGCTGGAAAGGCTGGAGACCTGGATGTTGGGGTGGTCAGCAGCACAGCGCGGCCTGGCGCAGTGTGTGTGCGTGTTGGCGAGGGGGTGGGGGGGCAGATGGTCTTGCCTGTTTGAATAGGCTGGAGAAAGACCCGGGTCCCAGCCTGGGTCCCCCTGGCACGTTGAGGATGGAGAATGCACCTGTCCGTCGTTGGAAGGCATCCTAACCCCACAGCCATTCCAGAATGCCCCCTCTTGGTCTGCCTGTTGTGGACTCTGCTCTCCCCTCTTCCCCTGATAACCCTGCTGGGGGGCCCTCCACGAAGGCAAGCAGCCTGTAATGATTAACTCCACAGACACTCTAGCATTCTTACCAAATTAAACTTTAAAAGAGCTGCCCCCCCTTCTCCCATTGGGCGTTTTTTCCTGAGCGAGGGAGTAGGCGGGGCCTCAAGGTCTTGGGCCCTCCCCCCAACTCCAAGTCACATAGGGGTTCCCCGCCTCCTCACCTGGGCCCTGCACCCTAAGAGCTCCCCCAAAAGTTGAGCCTTCCCCCCTACAATCAATCCCGATGGGGGCGGGACATGGAGTTCTGGGTTAGACCTGGTCTTCCCACCACATCCGGGCCCCCAGCCCAGGCCTCTGTCCTGCCAGCCCCTCCCCCCACCCAGGGAAGCACCGAAGGTGGCCTTGTTTTCTTTCGGCCCTAAACTCTGGGCCCTGCCACCCGCCCTTGGGGCCAGCCAGGTGGGGCAAGACTCAGGAAGTAAACAAGGAGGCAGGAGACAGTGAGGGAGGGAAGGAGGGTGGGGCCGGAGCCGCGGGGGCAGGAGAGGCGTTGGGGAAAGCCGCTGCTTGGACTTGCAGTGTTGAGGGGACAGGTTGGTTTTGGGGTTTGGCTTCTTCAACAGAAGCAAATTTCTTAAGGCCCCAGTTTGAAAGCTTCAGATCTGTTGGGAAGGAGGCTGTCCAGGCCCCACAGCTGGGACCCCAGTTCTCCCCTTTCATCTCTCTGGTCCTTCCTGACTATGCCTCCCTACTCTTTGCCTTAGTAGGGTCTGGAGGGCAGGGTGGAGGGATCTGAAGACCAAACCCAGGTCTGAGGCCATACTACTCTGATTTAAACCTCCCCTCTCCCGTTCCAAACACTACCCTGATTCCTCGTCCATCTGGGATGGGGGAGGACCCAGACCACCCCAGTGCCGGTCTCGGGCTTCCTAGAGGGGTAGCCTCTGCAAACTCCCTCCCTAGTCCTCCCTTGAATGAAGTCGCCAGGGCTGTTTGACAGGTGAGCGTGGGAGCATTGTTTTGGTGTTGATGTTCTGGTGTCTGTTATGATCAATGGTGAGTGTATCTTTCCCTTCCCAGCAGGATCCTGAGTCTCCTTTGCTCTCCCTTCTGGACCTTTCCTTGTCAGCCTATCTGTCCTCCTGGGTGTCTTGACTTTCTGCGCCTGCTCCTGGGGTATGCTATGCCTCTTGCCAGGACGCTGGGAGAATGTGTTAGGAGGGTCTTCCTCCCCCAGGAGGGATGTGGATGAGTCCCGTGGGCTGGCTGAGTCCTGGGTGCTAGGGGTGGGCAGCAGCAGCAGAATGAAAGCCTGGGTGTCCCCAGACAGGAGAGGGAGCAATGCAAGCTTTCTTTGGGTGAGTGAGGGGTACCCCTGGGAGGATGGCTCCACTACCAATGGGCCTCTAAATCCAGGCCTGGCCTTTCTTCTCTCTTTCTGGGTGAGGGGGCTCCTGGGCTGGGTGGTGGCTAATGGACAGATTGCAGGTCCCACCTGGACTGGAGAAGTGGAGGTAGGCCAAGGGAGAGGAGGAAGGGATGATGTCAAAAGGAGCCTCAGGCCCTGTATCCTCCTCCTCCTCCTCCTCCTCCACCACCGCCTTGTCATCCCCTGTTGCTTTCCTTGTCCTGTGCCTTCCCTAGTCCTTCCAGGCTGGTAGGTTGGGGGCGGGAGTGGAGGGGGGTGGGTAGAGGCAGGGTTGTTTGTGTTTCTCTTAAGCCAGGAAGTTGTGCATATGAGTCAAGGTTGAATGGAGAGCCCCAGGCAGTACTATCCCGCCCCACCCTGACTCAGCTGTCCCCCAAGTCCCCTCATGCCCACACTTAAGGGTTAGGGGCCTACCCCATTCTGGGGGGTCAGTCCCAAGTGTCCCAGGCAGCCTAACAACACTGGCCCAGGGTCTGGAGAGCAGGCAGGGGGCTGGAACTGGTGAGGTCTCCCAGGTCCTCCCAGGCCTCGGCCCAGCCAAAGGGATCTTGGTTCCTGTGGGGGAGGGGCCTGCACTACCTCTACCCACAGTGGGCATCTTTGCCCCATTTCTCCTATCCTTACTCATCCTGGGTGCCTATGCAGTACCTGTGGTGCTTAGACTTGGGGAAGACCCTAGCCCTACCTAGGAGAACAGTCTAGGAGACCAGTGGGTTGATAAGACAGGTGCACAGTACATAATTGGCGAGGAGGCCCCAGTGCAGTGCTCTGGGAGCTCTTCCAACTGAATGTAGAAAATACAGGAAGGCTTCCCAGAGGTGTTAGCTCTGGCGTTGGGGCTTTAAGTTGGGCAGGAGAAAGGGCCTGGGGAAGGCACACAGGTTTGTGCGGCCAGGCTAGCCCTCTCCACCCCACTGCAGCTGAACCTGCCCCCCTGGTACCTGTCCTTCCCCACTCCCTCCTCCCCTCAGCATCACTCAGCACTTGGGCAGGCGTTGTCACAACAGGCTCTGGCAACCAGGTCTGGCAACAAAGCACTGGAACAACCTGGGGCAGAGCCCAGAGGAGTGAGTGCCCCACGCTCGGAGACAGAGGGTGGCCCTTTGCCCTGACATTGAGAGCTTGAGCCCCAGACAAGTCTGTGGGTCATGGAGTCTGTTGCTGTTGCCCGGCTTGTGGTGGGGGGACCCTCTTAGCTCTCGCCCTGGGCAACTTGGGGCTAAAGGAAAAGAAGAGCACTGGACTAGGAGTCCCAACACTGGGTTCCACTCCTGGCTCACCTGTGAAGGGAGCAAGAATGCTTCCTTCTCAGGGACTCGATGCCCCCTTTTGTAAAATTTTCCCAAAGTTTCCAGGGGAACCCTAGTTAGAGGGGAAACAATGAGGTACTGGGTAAACGCTGAGGGGCACCTGACATCTATGTGAAGTCAGGTCTGGGTCCTCTTGGCTCCTCTCCTCAAGACAAAGGCACAAGAGCAGCGCATTCAGCCCCCTCTTCTCCTTCAGATGTCATGGAGTTGGGTCTGTCTCCACCTCATCGCAGCAGCTCCCCAGAAGACCTGTACCCAGCCCCTGGAACCCCTCCTGGGACTCCCCCGCCCCCTGATGCCCCTCTGCCTGGGGAGGTGAAGAGGTCCCAGCCTCTGCCCATTCCCACCAGCAGGTACTATGGGGTGCTGGGGCTGAGGAGGGCTGGTGGGGTAGGGGGGGCGG